TAGGTTGTTTTACTCTGCATATTCAAACTTCGACATAGAAACCATGCCTACTAGGGTGTTTTAATTTCTGCATATTCAAACTTCACCTAGAAACCATGCAGATAGGGTGTTTTAATTTCTGCATATTCAAACTTCACCTAGAAATCATGCCTATAGGGTGTTTTAACTTCTGCATATTCAAACTTCACCTAGAAGCCATGCCTATAGGAATATTTTAATTCTGCATAATTCAAACTGCATTTAGATACCATGTCTATAAGGTTTAACGCGAGTTTCTGCATTTAGATACCATGTCTATAAGGTTTCTGCAATTAGATACCACGTCTATAAGATTTCAGTAATGCATAGAAATCATGCCTATAGGGATCCTCGAGCAATTTTGATCAGTTTTCATTCACATTCAATGATAGATATAAAATCAGTAATAGTAGATGCTATCACCTGCAGAACCTGTAACCAACTTATTTAATTTTTGTACGTTCTATATCTCTTTTAATGATCTAAGTCCCTCGCTTAACAAGTTCAACGGTATGTATATAGGACTTTAAACAATTCATTTCGAGCCTCACTATCTCATCACCTTCTAAAATCAGTAGATATCATGCCTATAAGATTCTGTCTAAACACTTAGGCAAGCCTTAGAGTAATAACTGTGAACTTAATCTGTTTCTATTAATCATTACAACCAGCAGGCAGGCCTGATTCGGACTTCTTATCTGAGTTATGTAATGAACCAATCTGCCTCAATATTTAAACTCCCTCGTCTTTGGTATTTTTAATCAAACCTAAAAAGTATGTGCAAGTCATGCTAATTATTTGCTTTCTTTGTTTAAGGAGGTATATAGGAGCCTTTGTTTGTTTATATGCTTCCCCCCAAAATATGCAATATGTGTTTTGTGTGTCGCCTTAGAGTTTTTACCTTTGAAACATCAAATAAGCTTAATGTCCCTCCCTTTTTAGGGTTAGTAGTCCTAAGTGCCCCCGAGACTGATAGGAGTGGGACGGGTAATAGCATGCAATAAGTAATCGAGACCAATCTGCGCTTTAAATACCTTAACGGGGTGGGAAGGGTAGATATGGATATGATGACCACGCGATAATGTCACGTGTAGCCCCTCATTGAGGAGTGATTACCGGACATTGTGTGGGGTGATCCATATCTTTAATAAACCTAGGGACCCCCCCCCCTTTCTTTATTCTTCATTTCTTTTCTTTCAGTATTTTATTTCCTTATTTAAAAAATTAGCCTTTCTAATTGTTCTTTCAAACTTTGCTTACTTTCAAACCATTATGTGTTGAAATCCCCTCTTATTTTAGCCTTATCTGCCTATATACTAATTGCACCTCAATTCACAATAATTGTCTGACCGGGAACCACACTAGTGGATTCTAAGGGGTGCCTAACACCTTCCCCTTAGAATAATTTCAAGCCCTTACCCTATCTCTGGTTATTCAAATCGAACTCTTTTGGTGTCCTAATGCACCCCAATCATTAGGTGGCGACTCTTCAAATGCAAAATCCAATTCCCAAAAGGAATGAGTTGTCCCTCCAAATGTCGTAAACCCGATTTTCGCCGAGGAAAAAAGGGGCGCGATACATAATTGGTTGACTATGACTAATTGTAAAGGTCTTTCTGGAAATTGTTATGGAGAAGCATATAATCTGTGGAACTTTTCACGAAGTTAAGCACAAAAATGAGCTTCAAAAAATGTCATTCAACTGCTTTCCCCTATTCATTTTGGAAAGATAAAGTGGCCACTAACTTGAAAATGAGAGCTGACAAGAATCACTAAAGAAGAATTTACAAACTTGGTTAAACAGGAAGAAGAACTCATCAAGCAAATCATGTTAAGGAGCCCCAATATCAATATCATAACTAAAATCCAAAAAGAGCTTAGGGAATAGGATTCGTCTGCTTTCCATAATTGAAGTAACTGACCAAATTCTCATCAAATTGACTAGATATAGTTATTCCTCAGCATTCTTATTTCTGGATCCAAGTAACTAGAAAGAGAACGAAAACAAGAATAACATAAACATTCTTAAGCTCAAATTCTTACCCATTATTAATCAAGCTTCAAATCTGACATTAAACCAACCACGCCTAACTTCAAATCCTCTACTAACATTACTTTAAGCCAATGATTTAAAGCCAGGACCGGATTCGGCGTTATAACCAAACGGGCACTAACAAACCAGATCAACGAACAAATAAAAGAAATTACAAATGAAAACTGAGGTGTGGTGCAGTGACGAATACAAAGTAAACGACCACGAAATCCAATTCTTTACGGAACCAATCACATAAGAATAACACATGAAACAGAGGGAGAAGAAAAGATAAACCTCTATTAATCTGAAATTTAAATGACTTACAATCTGAAAATGCTAATCGACGGAACGAACAGGACCGCGAATAAAATCTAAGCCGGAAATCTCATGAGCTCTGACCGGACAGCCTCGCTACCCCCATTACTCAGTCGGAGCATCCGTTCCTCCATCAATCTCTCACTCTGTTCTTTTTTTTTCTTTTTTTTCCGACGACAACCAAAGAACGAGAAGGGAAAGCAGAAATTTTTCCTCACCGTCGTGGCTCTCGTTTCGGACTGAAGATAATAGTCGGTGGTCGCTGGTTGTTTGGTGAAGGGCTGGGGTTGTCTAGATCTGAGAGGAAGGAGTTGGGATCGCTGCTCTTGTTGGTGTGACGCTACTGCTAGAGGAAAAGGGTGTTGGGCGTTCTCTAGGGTTCAAGGCTTAGGTTGTGTGCTGTGTGTGTTAGGAGGTCTACGTCGGCCCTGAAAGTGAGAATCAGAAGCGGCGATTAAGGGGAAGATGGATGATGTCTAGGTTAATGGAGGATATGGGGTGATCGTTTATGGGTTCTGCGGCTGGTTCACGTCTTGGTTCATCCAAGTGAAGAAGAAGATCAATCCGATGGGGGGTCTGTATTTGGTGTCCAGCGGCGGATTCCACTCCTAGGGTCTAGGTTATTTTTTAGACTATTTTTGGTTATATAGAAAGGTTTTTAAGTTAATGGGGGTATGGGTTTGATATTTTTGGGCCTTAAAATTGGGCCAAAGACTAAAAAAAATGGACTACAAGATTAAAATGGGATCAACCAACCCAAAACTAACTCTTCCTTCTAAATATACAATTTATAATATAAAAATATAAAACTAATCTTAATTAACTAAAATATGAAACTATTTTTATGTTTTCAAGATTATATAAAAATAAGGTACTATTTTTGTATATATATTTTTTATTTAAATTTATGAAAGATACATAAACTAAAATATATTTTTTTTGTAATTTTTATTTTTTGTGACGAAATAAAGTAAAAGAGTCAAAATTAATCGAAATAGCGATTTTAGGCCTAAACTAGAGATTTACATGTTAAAATGTAAAAAATCTTGGGAAGGGTCAAAAATCACATGTCTACAACTGCATCAGTTGTACCATGTACTGTTTGAGCTGAAAGTGACCCGTGATGTCAGGCTTCGTGATAGCCTGATTATATTAGCAAGATTAGGCCTTGCGACCTCTATCACTGGTCGCTCTTCATTCTCTGCCATCTTGATTGGCTGTGGTTGGACTACGATGCCCAACTCTGCAACTTCTGCTCTTGCTTCCACCTCCCTCCTTAACCTGTGGAATAGTCTTTCGGGTTCAGGATCAAAAGGCGGAAGAATGTTCAGACGGTTACTTCTTCTTAGCATTCAATGTAAACACTTGTAAAGTCAGAACAACAAAACAAAACAAATCTCAAACAAAAATAAATAAATAATTCTTTCAGACAAGTAGCTAATTTCTATATCCCCGGTAACGGTACCAAAAACTTGTTGGGTCCAAAAGCACACGCAAGTATACACGGTCGACAAGTAATAAAGTGATAAGAAAGTATCGTTCCCACGAGAATTTATGATTAAATATCGTCCAATCCAAGCTATTTATAAATTTAATTCTCAAGTGAGAGTGAAGAAGATGATTGTGATTTTTGTAACTAAATTACGACGAACTAATAAGCAAGAAAGAAAATAAGATCGCAAGTAAAGCAAACAAACACTTAGAAAGAATTCAACGAGATAGGGATATCCTAGGGTTATGGGATTCACGTCTCTCCTATTTCATTTTTCCGGTTGATGTAATCACTTGACTTATCTAATATGTTGATTAGCAGGGTTTATTATGCTCGCGAAGTTCTTTCGATGCTTCGCTCGCCTATTCAAGCCAACCTAAGACTATATGTCTATAGAATCAAACTTGACAAGAATGCATGTGTATTTCCTGCAATAATAACCAAGTAAGGCAACTAGAATCGCGAATCTATTCTCCTATGCACGAATTTAAGAACTCACTCTATCCAATCTCATATGCAATCTATAGTTCACACTTTTGAGTTCAACTATAAATTTATAGATAGTGCTTTATTGTTAGCTATGCAATAGAATAATAAAGTGCAAGATTGAATAAACAATTTAATATGATAAAATCAAGAAAAATAATTAACCGTCAAATTACAATAGTCAAGAACGACCCATAATCCCAGAATAGTGAGGTTTTTAGCCACCCATGTTCTTAACAATAATCAAAATATTGTTTTTAAGCATAAAAGCTATGAATACTAGATGAATGAGGAAGAATTGATGAATTCCGTGCTCCCGAGTGGTCACTTGTGTTTTTCTCTCAAAGTGGCGTCTCCCCCTCCAAAATAGGTTTAGATTTGCTTTTATACGAGTTGGGGGCATCTTGGATCGAAATAACCAAGTCCCGGGCGAAATAGGACAAGTTCCCGTCACAAGCGCCTAAAGTAGTGTGTGGCGCTAACCCTAGCGCTGGGAAATTTTATGATCGGATTTCTACGCCACAGGTAACATCCCACGCTAGCCTGGGCGCTACTTTGTGGCAATTTTTTCCATTCCGTCCCCTTTTTTCTTCAAATCACGCACCTTAGCCCCATATTGCCTCCAGATGATTCATATACATAAAAATACCATGAATTAGAATAAATTATTATTTTACATATCCAAAAATTACGAAACATGAGTAAAATGCGAGGCAATATGCATATAAATATTCATACTTTCAGCCGAATATCATGTATTGTTATAGGTGTCAATTTTCCTGCTATTATTAGGTTTATATATAATAGTCTTTTACTGATGTATTTTAAAAATGGCCGCCTGAGTATTGGTTGTTGTAGATGGCCAAATTTTTAAAAGTTGCCATCTTCGGGCATGTTTTGTACTGGTTTTAGATTCTAACATCTTCAAATATCTCAATAATCTACCATAACTCCCTCTATTGTTCAATTAACTTTAGGCTTGTAAAGAAAATATAAGTGCGGTTGTGAGTACATTCCATAGAGAAATGAATTCGTATTTATGGATGGTAAGTAAGAGACTATCTCGCATCAGATCATAACATTTATGTTTAAATATCATGTTAGATCAATTTTAGATTTCTATACATATAAACTTAATATCTTGTAAAATATATTTTACAAATGAGAAAGTGATTGAAATTAAACCTATCTAATACTTAAACCTTGGTCGAGTCCAATTAACTTTCACTTTAATTTTTTCGAGGAAGTGGCTGTGAAACTGTATTCTATTCCTACCAAAGCTGGCATGATTAAAAGCCTCAAGATTAATAGGTTAATTTTCTTGCATTTCTTATTTGTTAACTGGTAATTTCTGTTAGATCCATTATTGATTTTTCCAATTGTAAAAATTTTAACAAGCAAAAGGGAATATCGTGTTGGTGCTTGTTTTGGGACCAATTTAGTTTTTTATATTTTATTTTATTATTAACATAAGGGATAGAAGAAGGTAAATAGGGAAGGAGATTACAAGTAAGAGAATCAAATATCTCAACAACAAGGTAAAAATTTAAATAGCCAAAATACTAAGCTTCTAAAAGTTCTCAGAAAGATCTAGTTATTTGGAGACCAAGCTAATTATTTGGAGCCCAAACTATTTTTTTCCTATAAATAGGAGGCTTTCTTACCCTATTTGTAAGACTTCAAAATGTATTAAAATCCCTTTATTAAATTCTTTATCTATGACACTTCGAAAAATTAAGTGATTTTTTTGTTACAAAAATTAGTTTAATGACTTTGTTATAGTTAGATAAAGTTGAATAACCTTTTCTCTAAAGAAAATAGTTTAGTGACTTCTATCTGATTAAAAAGATTAAGTAACTATGAACTCTGCTTGTCTCCTGCTATGCTAGATGGCTATTAATATTAAGTTATACTGATCTTTTCGTTTAAATGACAAAAGTCTCTTTTGAACTATTGCACTTCTTTTCTTGAGGAAACGGGTGGGTGCACCGGTGGACCCAAGATTTAAAATTAGTGGGGGTATCGTCATCGAATAAAAATTTAATCAATTCTAGAGTGGGAATCGAACTCAAACAGCATACTAGAAGTCGAGTTGTGCCCCCCATATCGATCAATGTAGCTGTCTAAGCTTTGAATCTTAGGGTGCCAAACAAGATATATATACATGTTATTTAAGAATGATATGCATATATGCATATTGTCACACCTCCTTTTTCCTACACCCTCAAGGGCATAAAGGAGTTTTTCCACTTAAAGGACAATCGGAACGGGATTTATTAGTAAGATTTCAGAGTCGCCGCTTGGGAGATTAATGGTGTCCCAAGTCACCGGTTGAATCCCGAACCGAGGAAATTATGACTCTGTTAACAGTCTGCGAACCAGAAATCCGAGTAAGGAATTCTGTTAACCCAGGAGAAGGTGTTAGGCATTCCCAGGTTCCGTGGTTCTAGCACGGTCGCTCAACTGTCATATTTGGCTTATTTATTTGATTTTAGCACATGTTTTAACCTATGTGCTTTTTAACTTTGAACCGCTTTTATTATTATTTTTTAAGAGAATTGCAACGTCGTGAAAACACATCTCGAACCGCGTCACATAAATGCACCTGCGATTTTTGACACATTTCGACTTCGTTGGGATTTGTATTTGGGTCACATAAATGTGCATCCGTATTTAGGAAAGTAAATTATTAAAAGCGTGTCTAAAGTGTCTAACGCATCATTGTCATTGGGGAAGGCCGTGAAATTCGCTAAACGGCCCATCCCGAATTCTAAGTATTTTAATGTATACATTTGTTGAAGGCCCCGCAATTTATGTGTTTTATTTGGCGGGGCTTCCCTCTTTTATTATTTAAAAGGCCAATCCTAAAGCAAATTATAATTTTCTACCCGAGTTGTCTCTAGAAGTAAAAATAACCCTAATTAATTGGCATGTGGAAGAGGTCCAAAATTTTATAGTTCATTTTCAACCAACTAAACCCAATAACTGAATAAACGAAGCAAGACATTTCTAGCAATGGGTTCGAAATGGCCCAGGTGTCCTTATGCGCAAGTTGGACTGTTTGGGCCTGTAACAGCTCATATATCCAGTATCAAATTAAATCGGGCTCACTGATTTACTTTCACAGCCTGGACAGTCAAGGCTTTGAGCCAAGCCCAAACGAGATTGATTGAGTAGCAATTGTAGGTTATATACAATGATTCAAACCCTTTGCTATTGACAGTTATTTAAGCTATGGCTAACACCAGTGATTATAAAGAATTAGGATCGTTCAAAGTGACTATCAATTACTGGAAAAAGCAACTTATTAGTACTATTGTCCTTATCAGCCTAAGATCACCATTATGCAAACTTGAAAATCTATATAGTCCAGTTTTATTCAATTAACGCTAATTGCTACTTCTATCTGATCGTACTTGTGAATTAACAGAACAACAAACTACTGCCTAATCACATACTTTGCATTTCACATTAAGTTGAGATAACACCACTAAATACAAAAAAAAACTCATACAATCTTAAGTAATACTCGAATTAGTTTAACAGTCCCTAGTCCAAACCAACCTAAAGCAGTCCTAATTATACAAGCTCAATATCTATTATTCGTATAAGTACAAAATCAAACTACGTCAACACATTACATATTATTAATATCTATTTGA